GGGTTAGACCGGATATTGAAAAGAAATTCTTCCTGGGGTGGGAAGGCCCTGGCACAGGCTGTCCACTGARCTGTGGCTGCCCCATCCCTAGAAGTGCCCAAAGCCATGTTGGACAGGGCTTCAAACAACCTGGGATAGTGGAAGGTGTTCCTGCCCAACCAGTTCCTAGTGGTTTGGGGGAGGAAATGATTCCAGAGAAGGGCTGGCTGCGCCCAGAGGTCTCCTCATGTGCTGTAGGTGGCACTGAGGGCTGGCCTTGTCCCTGAATCATGGAATCACAGATTGGTTTGCCTTGGAAGGGATCCGAGAGTCCATCTAGTTCCACCTCCCCTGCCATGGGCAAGGACAAGGTGGGACTCAGGGGTGAGGGGATGAGGTGGGGTTTGGGGGCAACAAAGTAGGGAGCAGGGATGAACTGGGGAYGAGGGACAAGCTGTGGGGCCAGGAGTGAACTAGGGCCCCAGAATGAGGTGGGGGGCAGGGATGAAGTGAGGGCCAGAGACAAGGAAGGGGCCAGGGACAAGGTCGAGACCAGGGACAAACTRGGGACCAGGGATGTGCTGGGGCTGGGGTCTGATGTCCCCAGGCCACTGTCACCACTAGATGCTGCTCTTGACCAGGACCTCCACTCCAGCCCTGCCCCTCCATGGGAATTTTTTCATCCTGGCCGAGTTTATCCCTTCCCTGTCTTTATTCCTTCCCTATCAGAGATGGATCTCTCCTTTGTCCTTTCCAATGCCCCCCACACCCCTGCCTGCTCCATCCCATGGTGTGTGTGTGCTGCATTCCCCACTGGACAGGAGACCCAGGGACACCCAGCTCATACCAGGAATGAGGTGTCACCCAGCCTGGGGCAGGAGCCAGACGAGGGGACAGGGCATGGTTTTGGTGACAGATCCTTTGTTTCTTCTCAGGACGAGACTCTGGGTACAATTCTGGTGTCCCAGTGTCCCACATGGAAGAGAATCTGTATGAGGAGCCTCCAGAGCCCTCAGCCATCTACGAGGAGCCGCCCCAGGTGGGTTTGGAGGGGAGGGGACCCCACTGGGACCAGATCTGCATGGGAGAGAGAGGCTCATCCCATCCTTAGGATGAGCCTGGAAGACTTTTCTGAGCTAAAATCATAGGAAATGGCGAAACCCCAGAGCTCAGGTGTGCTCAGGATGCACCCATGCCCATGCTGCTGTGTCCCTTGCCAGTGCTCCCAGTGGGGGGACACTGGTGCAGAGTCCCTGGCACCCATCCTGCACCCCAGGGCCACACTTGCTTGTTGTCAGTGCCACATCTCCAGAACCAGTGCGGGGAAAGGATCCATCAGCCTCTTCCAAAGCCCTTTTTTCCTCCTGCTTCTCTGCACATCTGTACCCAGTAGAGTTGGCAATCCCAGCTGTTCTGATGCACTCCAAGATTCTCCAGTGGCTAATTGTGGGGTTGTGCTGTGTTGCTGTGTTTCCCTTGGAGATGTGGGGCCCCTTTGGTTTCTTCTCTGCTCACCAAACCATTGGCATTCCAAACATCATTTTCTCATTCTGGAATTTGTCTGAAAGTGTCCAGCAGGTTCCAAAGGATTCCAGGGGAGATGGGCTCAGTGATCCCCTCAGCCTTTCCTGAGGAAAGCAAACCACAGCCAGCTCATRTTCTGGCAGCAATGCTTCAGAAGCTGGAGCTTATCCCTTGGGGGCTGAGCCTCTGAAGCAGAGATCCCAAGGGATCGGAGCGGTTGTCTGCCACTGATCTCTGGTGTTTCTGTTGGGATGAGATCCCAAGGGACAGGGATTGGTGTTGAACCAGGTGGAGAGGTGACCACCTCAGCTCTTTGGCCAAGAGCTGGTTTGCTCCAGTGTCTCTTGGATCCTGTGGCACACACATGACACCACTTCCCTAGAGCCCACGTTTTATTCTAGAGGACACCCAGTGCTCAGGCCTCCAAGCCCTGGGGGGCTGATGTACATTTCTGGCTGCTGGACATCATTCTTTTYCCTCCCACTGTTCTCCCTGTAATTCCTGCTCTCCTTCTCTCCTTCCTGAAGGAACAAGTTGATGATGTCAAATAYGACTACAGGGTGGAGTACCAGGAGCCACCGGACCTGACGGGGAAGGGGCTCTGTGCCCGGGCACTCTATGACTACCAGGCTGGTGAGACGCACTGAGCCATTCCCCTTGTCCTGTCYCTTCATCCCTTGTCCCTCTCCAGCTCTCCTGGAGCTCCTTTAAGCTCTGGATGGGGTTCTAAGGGCTCCCTGAAGCTTCTCTTCTCTGAAAGAGAAGGCTTTTCCTTGGGACATTCCCAGTTCTCCCAGCCTGTCTCCAGAGCAGAAGGGCGCCAGCTCTTGGAGCTGTGGCCTCCTCTGGAGCCTCCTCTGCCTCRTTCCAGCAGCTCCACCTCCCCATTACCTTGGGAACCCCAGAGCTGGGGTAGTTCAGGTGGTCTGACCCCCTCCCCTCTCTGTCCCATTGCAGCTGATGACACTGAGATCTCCTTTGATCCTGAGAACATCATCACCAACATCGAGATGATCGATGAGGGCTGGTGGCGCGGCTACGGCCCCGACGGCCACTTCGGCATGTTCCCCGCCAACTACGTGGAACTGATAGAGTAGGGGGACTGGCAGGGGGCTGATGGGGGGCTCCAAACCCCTGGGACTGCTCCAGACCCTTGGGACCACTCAGCTCCTGCCTGATTCTTCCAAATGACATGTGGCTTTTTCTTCTTCTCTATTTCTTTCTCTCTCTCAGTGAAGTGCCATTCCCCAATCCCTCGGTAGTGGGGCCTCCCCAGGTGCTGCCCCCATGTCCCCCATAGCTGCCCTTGGGTGGGTGAAAGAAGGGTCCCATCCCACCCTGAGCCTACAGTGCTGGTCTCCTCCTCCTCCCTTGGCACTGGAGTGGGAAGGAGGGYGTGATGAATCCCTCACAGGAATTTTCAGGGAACAAATTACCTCCCCCTGTGCTCCCTCCCACCCTGTGACCTTGGACCTGCTGCAGCCACACTGGAGAAGCCACTTGCCCAATTTTATTTCATTTGAAAAGCTTATCAGAATAATTTTGGAATCCTACAGGGTCTGACATGACCAGTAGGGCTGAAYCCTGGCTCTGTTCCCCGTCCACCCCGAGCAGACTGAGCTCACCATGCGTGATCCTGTGTTTTCCTCCCTGCTCTCCCCACCCTTCCCTTGCCTTGCCTTGCCYTGCCCCAAATATGCTCTGGGGATTTCAATTGGGAGTGAATGAYCTCCCCTGCAGCGCAGATCCGGCCAAGCGTGTGGGACCCCCCTCCCCACCCCCAAACTCACTGTGAACAAGGAAAAGCCCAGCCCAGCCCCTCCCCCACACTGARTTTCCCGCCTTGGTGTCACTTTAGGAATAGAAGGAGAGGACAGGGTTGGGGCACGGGGGGTGATCCCGGCTCACCCACGCCTTCTGCAGGTGCTGGGGGATGCAGTGTCTCCTCCGAGTCCCTCCCTGCGAGCTCCTTTTTCTCCTTGCTCCTCCCAGGCCCTCCCCAGCTATAATAAAAGGGCTTTTCTTTGGTGATGGATGTGGCAGGATCCTGGTGGGAATTGCAGAGGAATGCCAGCAGCTTGGTGTCTGTAATGCCAGGCRTGTTGTCACACCAGGTTGTTGTGAGCAGGGGCCAAGGGAGGGGTAACTGGGGTCATAATTAATCTCAGCACTAATTATCTGGGTCTAACGAGGGAGAAAGCAGCCTGTGATTGGGATCCAGGGGTCTGGGTGGCCCCAGGGTGGAAAGGAGCTTTGGAGGTGTGGTTGGTGGCACTGATTTGAGAACACTGGGGATATTGGCAGTGCCCTGACTGGAGAGGGAAGAGGGTGGCACATCAAGGATGTGGACATGGAGGTACAGTGGAGATTTGGATATGTGAGGGATTTGGGGATATGGGGGACCCACGGTGGCAGCCGGGTGGGTGCCACAGGGCATCTCCCACCCTTCCCAAACACACGGGGTCAGGTGCTCACAAAAAGACCTGGAGACACAGTATGGTTGTGGCCATCACCCCGTGGTGCAGAGAACTGGTGCCTGGTGACACAGGTGGCCCTGCAGCGTGCCATGTGGGGTGGCATCACACCAGGGTGCTGGAGACACTTCATCCCCGGCACTGCCATTGCCCTGTCCTGTCTGAGACCCCCACATCTCCCCATCCCAAGGGCTGGTGCCACACCCAGAGCAGCCACACAGAGCGCATGGCACTGTCCCTTTATTCAGGAGGACCTGGGTGTGGGGGCAGATGTGTGGGCACAGGCACCGTGGGCGTGGGGTGGGCACAGCACGGGCACAGTGTGGCACATGCAAGAAGGCAGTGAGGGCACGCAGGTGGCAGAGCTATGGCAGCAGCATGGTGGGGAGGTGTGGGCATGGCATGGGCTTGGGATAATGTAGGGATGGGGATGGGCAAAGGAATTGGGATGATGGGGTGGCACAGGGACAGAGATGATGGGTTTGGGTATGGGATGGAGATTGGGATGGCATGGGGGTGGGGTTGTCACAAAAGGACATGGCATGGGCTTGGAGATAGCATGGGTGTGGCATGGGGTGGGCATGGGAATGGGAAAGGAAGGGCCATGGGGATGGCAAAGGGATGGACAGGGATGATGTGGGCACGGGGTGGGCAAAGGCACGGGGATGACAGGGCGTTGTCATGCATGGGGCAGGAATGACACAGGCTTGGGGATGGGGTGGACATGGGCATGGCACAAGGATGTGAATGACTGGCATGGAGATGAAAATGGCAGGGGCTTGGGGGTGGTGTGGGCATGGGAATGGCACAGGGAGAGGGCTGATGTGGGCTTGGGGAGGGTGTGGAGATGGGCCTGGCTTGGGCAAARGCACAGGGATGTCACCGCGTAGAAATGGCATGGGCTTGGTATGGGATATCAGGGATGTGATGCACAAGGATGTGAATGCCAACAGCACGGGGATGGGATAGGCACAGGGACAGGGATGGCATGGTGACAGGGACAGCTGAGCAGAGCATGGGCACAGCCAGCACAAGCCTGGTCACACCCTGAGCCTGGCACTGCCCCGTGGGCACCTGCTGCTCATTTCCAGCTGGTGAAGAACTGCTTGAAGAAGGGCGTCTCGTGGCCCTGGGGCATTATCTCCACCTGTCGGGACAGGGACAGGGACAGGGAGGGGACAGGGATTGGGAGGGGGTGATGCCTCCCCTGCCACCCCGGGCACCCCTCACCCCCTGCACCCACCTGTGTGTGGGGTGGGTGGCCCATGCGGGCGATCACCTCCTCGGCCACTCTCAGAGCTGCCTGGCGCTCCTGCTCGTTGGCCTTGCGCCCTGCAGAGGGGGGGGTCAGAGCTGTGCTGGGGATGGTCCCTGTCTCCCTGTCACCCCGTGTCCCCACCCCCGGGCACCTTTCCAGACGTAGACCGTGCCACCAGCGCCGTTGTCCAGCACAAAGCAGTCGTCAGGGCACAGCAGGCTCTGGCTGAAAGGGCTGCTGCTGGCGACCTGGGTCAGATCCATGCGCCCTGTGGCATCTGACACCTGCCCGTGGAGGGGACATCACCACGGGGTCACCTGGGATCTCTCCGGCCCAGTGTCCTCCCACCCACCCACTCTGGCATTCCCCACCCCTCCCTGCTCCATGGTGTCCTCTGGCCATGCCCAGCCCCCTGTGTCCCCCGGGGCCATTGCAGTGTCCCCTGACCATGCTCAGCTTCATGTGGCTTTCCTAAGCCTAAGGTTGACCGGAGTATCCCTGGGCCATGTCCAGCCCAGGGGGCTCTTGGGGGCCACCATGGGGTCCCCTGGCTGTGTCCAGCCCCGTGTGTTCCCTGGGGTCACAATGGTGTCCCCCCGTGTCTCATAGGGCCACTGCACTGTTCCCTGGCCATGCCAACCCTGCAATCACYGTGGGGCCCCTGACCATCTCCACCCCTGTGCCCACCATGGTGACACCCAAGCATGCCCAGCCCTGATGCCACCATGGTGTTCTGCCATGTCCTTGCCTTGTAGAGGATGGCTGCCCCTGCGTTGCTCTGGTCAGCCACCACGTCCTCCTCGGGGCTGCCCTCCTGCAAGGTGGGCTTGGGGCCCAGCACCTGCCAGGGGATGAGATGGCAGGGTGAAAGAGCCACCCAAGGGACACACAAGTCCCCCTCTCCACCCTGTGGGGACATACCTGAATCATCTCAGGTGGGTCCTCACCGTCAGCCACAATCTCCAGGCGTGCTTTGCCACCCCGCTCGCCGTCSCGGATGGCAGCAGCCAGCTCCTGCGCCCTGCTGCGCTCCAGGACATTGCTCCGGGCCCCACACCAGATGAAGAGGGTCTGGGGACAGGGAGGGGATCAGTGCTGATGGAACTGCCCCATGGTGGCCCTCAACCCACCCCTCCCAGGCTGGGGATGGAGCAGCCACTGGGGTTGCAGCTGGTCCAGGACGATTCCATGATGGACACTCCAATGGATGGGTGGACACCCCAACCACCAAACCCCACTGGGAAATGCCCCAGTGACCACTGAAAGGACAGACACCCCAACAGAAGGACAAACAGCCAGTCCTATGGAGGGACTTGAGCCCCAAACAAGAGGGACAGGCCACTGAGCTGACAGACAAGCCAGGGGACAGAGGAGCACACAGGACATGTGGCACTTGGCCTCACACCTGGTGAGAAGGGTCAGGGGGGCAGGGATGGTGACAGCGGGGACAGGGAGTGGGACAGCAGGGACAGGGATGGTGACAGTGGGGACAGGGATGGTGACAGCGAGAGATGGCCCTCTGCCCACCTGTCCCAGGTCAAGCAGGAAGCAGTCGCCGGTGTTGAAGCTGGCCCAGGTCGGGTCCCGCTGGCTCGCCCGGATCTTCCTCTTGCCCTTCACCTGGTAGAGTTTGGGTGCAGCGCCGGCGCCAGAGCCAGGGCTGGGGCGRGTGTGTTTAAATGCCGAGGCCACACCACCCTCCTGCCAGGGAGTGACAAGCAGCAAATGGGGGTGACAAGCAGCGAATGGGGGTGACAAGCACCCAGCAGGGACGCTGAGCACCTTCTGGAGGTGCCGGGGGCTTCAGAGTGCTCAGCAAGGGTGAAGCAGAGTGCAGAGGGTGTGGAGAGCCCAGCAGGGACACTGGGCACCCATCTGGGGTGCTGGTCAGAATGCTGAGTATCAGGAGCACCCCGAGCAGCCCTGAGGACACCATACCTGGTAGGTGAGGCCGTGGGGGAAGTACTCCATGAAGAGATCAGACTCGTGGCCCTGAACCTCGCGGTGGGTGACGGGGCGCTCGCCCAGCAGCGAGCTCAGCTGGGTGGAGAGGAGGGCACAGGCACCTCGCTCATCCTGCGAGGAGTCCCGACCTGTGGGAGACATGAGAGCCCCTGACCCCACTGTCCCTAGTCCATCACATGAGCTCCCCTGACCCCACTGTCCCTGGTCCATCACACGAGCCCCCCGCAAGAGTCCCTGACCCCACTGTCCCCAGGCCATCACACGAGCCCCCTGTGAGAGCCCCTGACCCCACTGTCCCCAGGCTGTCACACGAGCCCCCTGTGAGAGCCCCTGACCCCACTGTCCCCGGGTGTCACACAAGCCCCCCTGACCCCACTGTCCCGGGTGTCACACAAGCCCCCCTGACCCCACTGTCCCCGGGTGTCACACAAGCCCCCCGCCCCTCCCCTCTGCTCACCCATCCACAGGTGGAGGTGGGGCTGCTCCTCGGGCCCGTTGTGCAGCACCAGGTACGCGTCCCCCGAGAAGAAAACGCCCAGGGTGGCCTCAGGGACCTGCACTGGCCGCAGCTTCTCCACCCGCCAGATGTGCAGCCCCGGGCTGGTGGCATCGGGGCCGAAAGGGGAACCGCTGTGGGGCAGGGGGCAGGGTGAGATTGGGGTGATTGGGGGGGCTGGGAGGAGCGGGGTGGGGGTACCTTTTGGGGAGCGCGGTGTACATGGCGTTGGGGCGGCACGGACGGATGGATGGACGGATGGACGTGTGGACCTGTGGATGGGGGGACATCGTGAGGTGGATGCAAAGGATGGGGACCCAAGAAAGAGGTCAAGGACACCCCAGAGGACAGATTAACAGCCAGAGGGCAAACGGATGCCCCAACAGACACCCAGAAGGACAAGTGGATACCCTGATAGACAGACACAYAGAAGGACAGACAGACATCTGGACAGCTACACAGAAGGACGGAGGGACAACCCACTGGACAGAGGGACACCCCAACAGACACCCAGAAAGACAGATGGACATGCCAACACACATCCAGAAGGGCAACCGGAGGCCCAGATGGACACCTAGAAGGACAGAAGGACATGCCAATGCACAGATGGACACCACATGAGGTAGATGGRCACCCCAATGGACAGACAGACATCCAGAGGATGGACAGACACCCCTAGGCAGAGATGGAGGCTCC